CAAAAAGAAGTGCCGACGCGAAGAGTCCCATGTGACATCAGCGTGGAGAAATTGGAGCTCGACTCTTTAAACATTGCGCCGAGCGGCCGAGAGCTCGCCGGCTCTACATTTAGAGGCCGAGGGATTGCGGGATGAGAACGAGACCGGACGCGTATCAACAGACAGCGGGCGGATAAGCTTAGACAAGGGGTTGATAGTCACAATGCCGCATTACTTATCAAAAGAGCATTTCCATGGATCGAGCTTCTGAAAATGGATGTTGAGAAGTCCCTTTGGCACTTTGGTTGCATGTAGCATTGCATATACCCACAGCACACACGTACACCAGCACACGATGGCCGGCGGCAGCAAGCAGAAGGAGCCTTTCTGGCTTGGGTGAGTTAGACTGGTCCAAGTTGGGAATGTAGGCTGGAATCGAGCTGACCGATAGTTGCAGAGGTGCTGCAGCATCTATGGCAGTCTGCTTCAGTACGTTCGCCATTGAGCTTGAGCGACATCGCCGTGTTTTGAATGGTCACTGATCACACAACTTCAGCACATCCCTTGGATCAAACTAAGTAGTGAGTAAAGAGTTGTTCACAGCTAGGAGCGCGCAGAACGAGCACTGATTGTAAAAGTCGAATGCAGGTCCTCAAGTCAAGGGAGTCAATGTTTCGAGCAATGTATCGTTTCGCAGCTCGAGATGGTGAGGGATACAGCTAATCTTCTGGTATCATGATTGCTTACACTGTATAGGGTTCTTTTCCTTATGGTCTGGGCTGTCAGCATCCATCTTTCGACAAACCACTTATTCCACTGCACGGTTCGGACTGTACAATTACTTTGCGCAACAAGCGAAAAAATGGACGGGCCAAGACAAGTTGACAACAGCGATGACGATATCTTGTGCTGGGTTGGCTGGAGGCATGGCAGGGCTGGTCGGAAATCCTGCTGAGGTATGGCTGGCATCGCTCCACTATTCAGCGCAGACTCTCACGGGTGTTAGGTCGTCCTCGTCCGCATGTGTGCCGATGGAGCCAAGAATGTCGGCGAACGATTCGCTTACTCGAACGCTGTCGAAGGGCTTTACAGGATAGGTCGCGAAGAGGGTGTGGGAGCATTCACAAGAGGCATATCTGCCAATGTGGTGCGCAGTATACTCATGAGTAAGTCAAGCGAAAACCTCGGAAACGACTGTAGAATTTTATTGAAGCTGATGCCGAATGATAGATGTGGGACAAATCGCCACGTGAGTGCCAAATGAGTGGACGTCTCTGGGTGAAGGGACTCAATAAAACAAGCAAAACTGACACGAAAGCACGAAACAGATACTCAACAGCGAAACGCATCCTTCTGCAAAAGACTGAAATGAAGGACGATATCAAGACACACGCCGTGGCATCCCTCTTTGCTGGAACTGCGGCGACAACGATTTGCGCGCCAGCTGATGTCCTCAAGAGCAGAATTCAAAGTGCTGCTGCGAGCGGCCCAGGGGCAAACGTGAGTAGTCAGGTCCAGTCCGGTCCTTGCAGAGGAACCGACTAATCGAACCTAGTCTTTGCTTCGTATTGTACAGACGGGTCTGAGGGAAGAAGGAGCAATTTTCTTGATGAAGGGATGGACCCCGGCGTGGTTGAGATTGACGTAAGTCACATCCACGATGAAAAGAAATGTCGATAATGTTGCTAATGAACCGTATACTGAAGGCCGAATACTGTCCTGACTTTTGTGTTCATGGAACAGCTGCGGAAACTGACGCAGTGGCAGTTCGCAGCCCCGGTCGAAACCATGAAGGCATGATGTGCGCCAAATGGCAAACCGAGAGATGTTTCTCTAGAACCCAAACTCTGTCAAATTAGGCCAGCTTAGCCAGTCAAAGTTATTCATGTCGTCCCAGGATAGGCCTGCAAATGAGGGGTCGAACTCGTTGCCTGGCTGATTGAGAACCTCAGCAATCTGGTCGTCAGACATGGCAGAGAACTGCAAAGTCCCAGGCCATAGCTGCGACTCCATGTAAGGCGGCTGCGAGACCGGTGGCCCCATATTGACGGGAGGCGAGGCAGCAACAGCCGACGAGGGGGTTCCGAGCTGACCACTGCGAGGGATAGTTGGATCAGGTTGCATGCTCGTCTGAGGCTGGCCATCCATGGCTGTGGCCGCCTTCCTGACGATACGTCTTAGATACTTTCCGTACAGTGTAGACAAGCCATTTCTGTGCTTTGTGGCAGAGCCAATACGTTCCAAGACGTCTGCCGTTTCTTCAATGAGGTTCCGAATGCTAGGTGCCAAGTTTGAGCTGCCCGTGGCGTAGGCGCTTAGAGTCAGGGCAAAACAGGCTGCAAACGAGACCATGATTGTCGTGTTGTTCGGGATCGACTGGAGCTGCGACTCTCCTTGGATCGCTGCTCGCATGACCGTCACAGCAGACGATAGCCCGGCCGTACGGAAGAATTGCCGGACTTCCATCGGGGCGGTCGGGTGGTTGATGACGCCTCCGTACGTCGAGAGCCGGGTGTGGGTGACGAGAATCTCAACGTACGGAGGGAGTCGGCGCTGGGGGCCTGTGCCAATGGCGTAGCCCCATTCGGTCAGCCATTGATCGAAGAATCTCTCAATAGCACTCTGGATCGACTGGGCGATGAGCCCGCCGTCCGTAGATATTCCCTGCGACCCGTCGCAGAGCGCGCGGACTGTGTTGAGTAGTCCGTCGAGGTCTCGGCGAAGGACGGCCATCGAGACTAGATGACCATCCATGGGGTCAGCAATGCTGGACCGATGCCATTGGTCGCAGTCTTTGATGACCCGGGTGATGGGCACGGTATAGGGTCGGCCGCGAGCTAGAGACATGCCTCGTTCAAGAACGAAAAGTGCGATCCAGCAGCGCTCACGGCGACGAAGAAGGCGTTGTCCAAGATCAGAGGTATGTTCAATGTGGCTGAAGCCGTCCATGGCCAGCGCTGTCCGAGGATCAAGACAGTCACCTCGGGACAAGGCCATGTTCGAACCGGAACCAACAACTTCCATTGGGATGAGGAGCTTATTCAAGGACAGATCAATGGCGATAGTGGCAGCCATATTGACATACCAGCAAGTCTCATCATCAGTGCTATGCTGGCCAGGAAACATCCATGGAACGTTGACCATGAATGCAAGAACAATCTCAACGGACTTGTGTCGGTTCGCGATGACTCTATGTGCGAGGGTCTTGCAATGGTTTGACAGTCTCTTGGACAAGGCACCAGCGGATGGAAGGAACAGGGCCGATGCGGCCATGATGGAGGTGCACAAGAAGGCAGATCGCGAGCGCGTGAAGGATGGAGTGTAGATCTTGGGGTCAAGTCCCCATCGGGTGTGGGCAAGTTTGCCATGGAAGCTGGATGGTGAGTTTGACGAAGCCCTCATCGGCGGTGGGCGTGTGTCACTTACAAAGCAAATAATGATTCTGCCTCTTCCTCAGTTACAAGACCCATGGTGATGGGATCTATGTCGTCGCCGACATCAAAGTTGACGCGAACAGAGGTGAAGAAGGACTGGATCTCCAAGTCCTCATCGGGTTGTTCGACCTGCTTCTTGCGCCCGGCGCGGGGACCTGGCTGCTTTGGCGAGAGGCCACTGATGGGCTTGGGCGAAAGCTGCAGATTCGAGGCGCGCGCCAGGAGTTGGAGCGGGTTTTCGGCATCGTCGATTGCCAGGCTCTCCTCGTTGTGATGGTGCAAACTCATATAAGTGTTGCTGTCTGGGGTGTTGTCCAGGTCATCATCATCGTCAGATGAGAGGTCGGGTTGGTCGGGGCTGTTGAAATGCGATGAACCCCGCCTTAAGTGAGAGGAGGCGGTAGTTGACCGAGCATTTCGAGAGCCCTCCAGGAGCGCCTGGAGACTGCCGATGGCCTTGTCATCTTCGGAGTTGTGTTCACCGGTTCTGGCTCTTTTGATGGCCTGCTCAATCTGATAGAGAGCTTTATCTAGGCCCTTTCGCTTGCTATTACACGCCCGGCCAATGATCAATACTACATTAGAGAATGGTGGGGGAGTTGTGGTGCGACTCAAAGGGGTTGTCTCGGTCATGGGGGGCCGTCTGGTGTCAACACCATTAGACGGCGGGGGAGCTTTGGGGGCCCTTACTTCTTGATTCCCTTCTGTCTTCCAGCGTGGAACGTAGGCCGTATGCACTCAGAATCGAGCTGAATGCACCTCTTGCATTTGTTCTCATGCGGAGAATAGTCGCACTTGATCTTGCTTCGGCGGCAGACCAGACAGGCGGCCTGCTTTGGACGTAGCGATTGAGGATCCTCCATCCAGGTGAGGGGAAGGTGAGAGGAGCCCGGGTGCACTCTGGCGATCTCGGTGAAGAGCTAAAGTGCTCTGTACGGACAGCAAGCGACAAGATTTGGATTAGAGGAACACGCGTTATTTCTCAACGTATTGACTTCTGGGGCTGGGGTCGAGATGAGATCCAATATCAGAGCGGCCTGGTCTGTTGGCTTTTTGACGATACAAACACGCTACCCCTAGAGCAGACAGCTCTGCTGAAGATGGAAGTGCTAAAACATTGAGCCTTGCGACTCACTGACGAGAAGTCTACTTAATTGAGAGGTCTCCCGCCAAGCACCAGCCATTAGGGAGGGAGAGAAGCTCGTCCTGTGACTCGTGTGAAGCCGGAATCATTGGGGAAAGTTGAATGAGGGCACGAATCAGCACGCAGCTACGGACCCGTCCGCCGACTTGAAGGAGCTTAGTCATTACTTCATCTCTCTTGGCAAGTTAAGAGAGATTACATAATGTCAACGGTGTACGGAGTAGTGGCAGCAGCTGTTGTGTGAGTTCTTTGAGGAGCTGTCGCTGCTGTTGCGAACGCCAAGGACATTGACTTATTCTTGGCTTGGCCACACATGGCTCTTGTTACCTACCCTACATGTGCTCTTGAATCATCCATCTATTGTCGATCGTCAACCTCTTCATACATAAGTACTTACCTCTCGACTCCTGTTGCAATTGCGAGTGAGTTCCTAGGCAGAAGCAATGCCACATTTACGCCTCCGCAAAGAACCGGGACCAGCCCAATCATGGCCAAAGTCCCTAGAATCACGGTCACCAACACGTCCCATCGTCCCATCTGCACGCATTGGGAGTGGCTCAGGGGATAACCAACCACTGCTTGATGCCTTGCCATACTGGTACGGCTCATCAAGTTTGCGGCAAAGCGGCCTCGGCTGTGAGGCCAAATTCGGCCTCAATCTCACTTGACTCTAACCAACACAAAGATGAGTACATGCTTAAGTAACGGTACTTTAGTTCAGGTAGATCCATACTCGAAGAAAATCTTTCTAAAATTGAAAATCCCAGATGATTTAAGCTCTGTTCGCCCCTCAACCCCGCCGCCATGGCACCTTGGCTCGCTGCCAAGCGCTCGTCTCCTCAGCTCTTCAGGATTGCAACTACCGTTTGTCACTCGCATACTGCACCAGCAACAACAGCTCGACTCATTCATATACCAAAAATGATGGCAGACTCAACGTCCATTACACATACGATCCTTCGCAATGGCACGCCGACGGAGGTTGCCAAATACCTCAAGGAGGTTCGAGCCAATGCCGCCGATCCGACATCCATCACATACAATCTCCATGAAGCGGTCGTCCGAGGTTCCATCCCGCACAGCATCTTCTCAATCTGGATCCCTCTATCTGACGATGCAAAGTCGATCGTGGCAGCCCTCAATCAATCAGGGAGTACGTCCGAAAGACGCGCGGCTATGAGGGCATTTCTCAAGGCTATGCGATCAGAGGACACGATGATTCCGGTATGGAATGAGGCAGGCGGTGCTCAAGGTGTCGCAACAATCATGAGTAACCTCAGCGTCAAGGAGGTCAAGATGCTATGCAATGGCCTCGCCAGGACAGCCTCCCTTCCCCACGGGCGATCGCAGCGACGAGCGAAATTGACAGAGTTGATCGCCATCCTCGGCGCTGGGACTCCAGTCCCCAAAGAAAACCCAGATGCGAGGCCGCTGTTATCCCATTACAGGAGAATCCTGCCGGCCTGCACAACCGATCGAGTAGCCGAGCATGAAAGGACATCGCCCAACTGGACAGTAAGGCAGCGTTTCAACTTGCTTCGCACTCATCCAACATTCTACGAGACCAAATTCCTGGACTCTATCTTTTCGAATGGAGAATCTCCTTCTGCCGAATTCGATGCTAGCACGTGCACGCAGCTCATCAACAACAATTTTAGCTTCGCCAAGGACATGCTCCTCAAGTTTCTCGACGCCGGGGCTGAGCTCCCCGTTACGCCAGACGTATTCATCAAGCAGATTGCTTTGCCCATTGTGAGACGTTTGCGACGACGCAGAAAAGCCGTTGAGCAGCATCTTCCGCTTGAGATTCTTGAGCTTCTCGTCCGCCTCATCAGCAGGCATCCCGACCTTCAGAGGATGCTGGACGATAGCCTTGTCGGTGTCATGTTCCATGTCATCAAATTCTGGGAGCATACCCGTTCGACGCGACCACAAGTTGAGCAGCATTTGGTCAAGCTTTTGAATCTCACTCCTGAGACAAAGTGGCAATCAGCAAAACAGATCGTTTCGCATCTACGTGTTGTGAATCCGGCCGTGTCCTACAGATTATTTCGGCTTTTGCTCCGGCATCTACCTGCCTTCAAATTCGATATCGACGACGCTATAGGCAACGAAAACATCTCTCTCGAGAAGATCAAGGGACCGTGGCCAGCGAATTTCTTCGTCACAACGCTTGGGCGTGATGACCGGCTTTCTTCTCTCCGCTTAGTCCAGCGCTTGATGGCTGCTTTCCCTGACGGACGTTTCCTGGAGTATTCATACATCAGAGATTGTTCCATCTTTGAGCATGAGCAAGACTCTGATACAGTCCAAGGTGACGCGCTCGCACTCGAAGTTTTTCTTTTGCGAAGTTCGCGAGCTTCCAACCCCCTTAATGCAAGCTACGACAGCAAAATAGACGCAGATCTAGAGAGGCGCAGGAAAAAAGCATCCTCAAGCCGTGATTGGGAAAGTCGAACCTTGTGGGCTCAGTCAGCACTCGACCTCTCCATTGCGGCGGGCTCCTTAGATCTCTACGCAGAGAACCTGCTTTGGGCGAGACGCTTCAACAAAGACGTTTTTACCGTGAGGGGTCTTTATGACGAGCAGGCTTTGAAGACTGCCGAGGGTTTAGACTTACTCAGCGGTATTGAGATAGCTTCTCATGCCGGCAAGCCAGATTTCGATGCTGCGAAATCCGTTCGGTCTGCGAATAAGATTATGATGCAGCTGCTGGAAACCGCATCAATGGCCACCCGAGAACCCAGCTTCCAGGCTTATGACTGGCAAACGGTCATAGAATTGCCTGCAGCAGTGGTTGAAAGACGTTTCCAGCTGGTCAATGAGTTCCAAGATGCTCGAAAGCTGACCGATACCGAAATCTCTGAGATCCTTTGGCAGCCAACTGTGGACTTCTTGGTTGAGCTAGAGACTTTCTTGCTTCATCCCAACCATCAAGAGCTCAACTCTCTCGGATCACGTGGGCTGAGCTTCCCCAGGGACTGTCTCGGAGCCCGTGAAAAGCGATCCCACGTCTTCAAGTTCGTGGACGGACTCGCCAAGGCACGCGATGAGTTGTGGCAGAAACACCGTCCTCGGCGTTTCCCATCGGTTCTCACGCTGGGCGAGCCATGGCCAAAGGGATTGCCGCTGCAATCTCTTTTGCCTACCGGATTCTTCGGCCTGCAGAATATCGATGCCATGCCTTACGTTCGAGAGCGGATCGAGAAGGCTGTCTTCGGAGCTCCCGAGGTCTTGCTTCAAGAGCCTCCGAAGGAAAAAGAATCTCAGCAGACGATAGGTTGTTTTGTGGACGAATACAGCTTTGCACTGAAAGCGTACATCGATGGAGGGGACATGGAAGAAAGCTGTCAGCGAGAAGAGCGCACTCGTAAAGCCTGGCGCCATGCAGTCGACAGCCTCAGTGGAGCGAGAATGACGAAAGCTGAAGCCCTACGGTTCTGGGAACAACGGTTCAACCGCGCGAATGTCCCATTACCTGCAGACATCAAAGCAGAGTTCCCGCGACGAGTCGAGCTCTCGATTCCTGAGGTCGGAAATCCAGAAACGCCAACAGAGTGGGATCCGGATTCTTGTCATGCGGAATTTGAGGAGCTCGGTACCAAGGAGATTCCCGTCACGATCTTAGACGTGATGATAAGCCACGATGCCTTTGGCCTAGGTGGTGATGAGGTGTGGGCGGCGTGCAGTTGGTCAGATACAGCGCAAATTCCACCAAAGGAGAGACCTAACTTCTGGGACGTGAGCCAATTCTCACAGCCCCTTTCCGGTAAAATCTTAGACGCTTACTTCGCGTCCCTCCTTCTCTCTCTCAACACCATCCACGGCTCCGACTGCTCGGTCTTGAAGCACCCATTTCCATCCCAGGCCGATGTTCGATATCCGGCGCTTTACTTGGATCAGGACTTCCTTGAGACCATTGACGAAGCGTTTTTCCGCGACGACCAGGCCCAGATAGAGCATATCATCAAATCAGGTCCACCAGCATTGCTTGTACCGGTCGTGCAATCAATCCTCCAGAACGTAGCTGCCAATGAGCAATCGGAGGCTCCAACGCATGCACATATCCAACTGGCTATGAAGCTTATCAAAGTGCTCGCAAACAGCGACCAACCATCTCTGGCTTTCCCTTTCATCAGGGATGTTGTTCTCAACAGACCAAGCGATAGCGCCTGGCACAGAGAACTTCTCACCAAAGGATTCTTCAACGCCATTCCTCCAAAGGAGGCAAAAAGTCTTCTTTGTATGATATCGATTGGCATACAGGAGAAGCTGGAGGAGCAGCAGGTCAGATACAAAAAGGCCAAGGAGGAGGGCGGTGAGCTGGCTGAGCGGTCCCCACCCGCGGTCAAAGTTACGACGGTCAAGATGGTGGCAAAGCTTCTGAGCAATGCGCCGTTCCTGGATGTCACATCAGCTGTTGATATCCTTTCCGGTCTTTTGACCAAAGCCCAGCACGTCGACATTCGAGTGGCCATCATTCAGACCCTGTTCGACACCCTAGAGACTGAGACAGCTTCGCCCGATGTGAAGAACCGGATTCTGACTGTCATTGAGGACCTCGCTGTGCCACTTGCAGCGTCTCTCGATGAGCTTCATCCAATGACAGAGGATGATTGGACGCAAGCAGAAGCTGATGGCGCTCTACCCGAAGTGGCCAATGCGAAGGATCGATCTGCAGCTCCTATCCGGTCTCTGTTCTACAATTTGGAGATGAAGCTCTGCAACGATCCTGTATCCAAAGCAAAGCTGGTCGGTATCACGCATCGATTGATATTGCAGTCCGCAGAGAACAACAGACGGTGGTTAAAATTGTTTCTCAAGAAGAATGGCTTCTCGTTGCCTTCTGGGGAGAGCCTCCCACTCTCGCCAGTCGACCCCGCCATGCTCAAGATCTTTCAGAGAACTCCGGTGTACTTCTCGCGACCGATGCTTGGGATGCTAAGCCGGTACGTTCTTGCCAACGTTCGACCCTCTCCCGGCATGGCAGCCGTCACAAAGAAGATCGAAAGCAATGCTGCCCTAGCCAACTCGAATGCAGGAAGACACTGGTTGCAGCTCTTCAGCGGAAATGAGGGAAAGATGGTTTCAAGCAATTGGACCTACTGCCTAGAGCATATACATCTACCACATATGAGCAAAGAAGTCGCTAACCCGAACGACCGTATTACCGTTGACATGCTCCAACGTTTCGCGAAAGATTTTGCAGACGGGCTCATCAGCCATGGAGACCCTTCTAACGTTGAGGCGCTGCTCAGGCACAAGTCTGAGGCGATGATGAAGGAGAAGAATCCAGAGACGCTGAAGAGCTGGCAATTGACAACGCAGCTGGTGCTACGATCGGTCATCTCAAGAGTCGAGGAGTTACGCACTCCTTCATGGCAGCATGATCCGATGCGAGAGCCCAAGGCTCTGCCAGACCCATTCCGCCTAAGAGTGGCAATGCTGGCTGTCCCTCCCGGAGGTGCTGAAATGGATGCTTTGTTTGCTAAAGAGATATCGGCATTGATTGACGAGTTGGCAAATGGAGATGCCATGTACCACAACAACTGGATACATCTGAACAACCAGCTGGCACGTAACTATTCCGTCTGGACACCACGTCTTGTTTACATTGCTACCATTCTGGGCGATCTCTCAAACGTCAACGTCGAGAGTCCTACGCTGG